GTTTGTAGGGCAATCCCCAATCTGGTTGAAAGTCTTCCAATATTGATTATTGTAAGACCTCAATGTTTCCTTCTCACCCATGTCAATGGTGAGTAGCTGGTCAATCTCCACTGGTGTCTTGGTATTTGTTCTGAATCTAGTCACAAACGCCTCTGCCGGCTGCGTCCATGAGGCTATGCTGCCTTTTAGCAGCCTTTCGAACCATGTTAGACCTAGGTCACCAAGGCTAGAAGGAAACAAGATACACATTAGAGCCTCGTTTGGCTGATGTACTGCCATAACCTGGCGAAGTGGCTTAAGTGCATGTAGGTGTCTGACTTCCCCTCATAAGTAGTGAATTTGGGCTAGTGGAAGTCTGAGGGTAGCGGTGCGTTCTCTATCGCCAGAACGAACAACGAACTCTGCAACCTTGCTAGCGCATTGTCAGTTGGTTCATAGGCAAGGTGTGGCTTTGGCTTTCCAACCTTGACACTCCGATGTATCCTCGGTGCTAATCGTTGTAGTGCAGAGACTCTGCGGGGGTCGCGTGCTCGAGTGTCTTCTCTCCTCCAAGCCCTTTCCTTAAACACTGTTCGCAGGTTCGCCGACCTTGGCAACTCCATATGCCTAGACGTCGTTTGGTGTGAGTGCGAGGGCCTGTAACTGCTTCCTTCCGTGTAAGACCTTTCAAAGTAACGAGTCCTGGAAGTCCTTGATTGGGTGTCGCCTGTTCAAAGGCTTCTACTTTCAACTTGTGACGGTGTGACTTGTCTGTCACGATCTTCTGAGTGGTAAGAAAGCGTGTTTCCTTTGCGCCCCTCTTCCGTTGTCACCCCTTTGCCCTTTATCTGGCGCTTCATAGTCTCCACGTCTGCCGCTATCCTTCTAATTAATTCATCTTGCTCCCTTACGCGATCCTCTAGAACCTGAGGGTCCTACCTTTGCTTCTGCCTTTCAGGACTTTGAGAGCGACAAGGACTGGAGCCCCATCTCTTCCGTGTGTCCCTCGAGAGTTTCGTCACTAGGGGTCTAACTCTGCCATGGATGGGATAAAAGGTAAGCCTTCGTGTCTCCCGCGCCTCTTCGGGGTTTGTCCATCAATAGCAGATTGCGGCAAATCTTCATCGTGCGCCATTAATTTCAACTAAAGAGGAAAACTTCGACCAAAAGGTTTTGTTCTTCATGTGTTTCCCATAGACGACGCTAATTGTACGAGCACGAAATAATCTTCTCGTATAATCTTGTTGATCAAGTTTGTACTCTTCCAAATGTCGTCGTTTTACTATTTGAAAACACAAACGTGAGCTAACCAGCGGGTGTGTGCCGGAAACCTCTCTGATACCTAAGTCAGCAAATAGACAATAGACACAAAAGCTCTATGTATTTGAAAGTAAAAATTGTGATACCTGTACAAAGGTTATGTCATGAGCTTTTATAGATTCTGTCTGGCACAATCCTAGTATGACTCCAATTCTCTTTATAAGAGTCCCCCTTAGGAATCACACTCCTAAGGATAATGCCTATCCTAATAACACCCTACTCACTGCTTAACCAATTGAGATGGCTTAAAACCTCATTACCTCGATTTAGTAACAGATCAACTGAGCTAGCATGGTCGCGGCCTACGCCAAGCCATGTTCACATAGCTCGATGTTACTGCAGGTTACTTCACAAGACTTTATTGTTTAGACGACGTCTAGCAAAGCTATCATATACCTCGGTCTTCCCGCCAACAATACCTCGGTTCAAGACGGTTAGACTAGGTCACTGGTAGCCTGCCTCTGACCGAACTGTCGGGATAAAGGACCGACCTTTTTTACCTCGGCCCGTAGTACAGTCCAACATCAAAGAGGTCGCACCTAGCTCGGTCCTTTTCAATAGTTGTACTTAGCTCGGCCCTTTTCAACAATCGTACTTAGCTCAGCCCAATTTTCACATAAATTACACTCTCAATATATATAAATACACTTTTTACACCCAATAATATGTAAGAGAGATAATTGACTAATAATTACAGAAGATATGACATAGAGAATTATTAGCCATTAGATAATATTCACTATATATATCTATTATATAAGTAACACAACAAAAAAATATTACTCTTTATTTTCTCACTCAGAAATAGTAAAGACGACTGTAATGACATATCAATTTATCAATTCTTATCTCTCTCTTCTCTTTGTCTTTCTCACATTATATAAATGATTTATTTTGATGTTATCGGTGATTTTATCCAACATTATTATTTTAGTATAATTTTAACAAATTAAACAACTTAATTAGGTGAAAAAAATTACGAGTCATTCTAGCCTAACTCAAGTTGTGTTTGTGAAGATAATCTTGAGTTGCAACTCAGGCTTGGTTGGCTTGAGTAATTCTCAACACAATTTAGATTGGGCCTAAACAATCTCTAACTTGATCAAACCAAGCTGAGTTGCACATAAAGGCCTAATATTTGAAATTTTTTGAAAATAGTTAAAATACTAGGAATGCATGAATGGAACTCTCCAATCTCAACCCAAAGCCTTGGAAACCAACTGGGATTGTAGTTAAATCTCAATGTAGTGGTTGGATTTGTTTTTTCTCTTATGTTAGGAAAATCAAATCGTATAATTTGGTATAGATCCAATCAAATTAGAATTGGTGTTTTGCTAATAATATATATATATATATATAAGTATGGGGGGAGGCAAAAATAAATAATTTTATTCAGAGCAGAAAATGTGGAGAATTTGAGAAGGATACACTCTGACAAGCAGAATAGGAGATCCATAAGACTAAGGGACTAGGACTAGAGGTCCAGGTCCAAACATACAAGTTTAAGACCAAAGGATCAAGTTTAAAGGTCCAGGACCGAAGGAAACCATAAGACCAAAACCAGAGATCTAGGTCCAGACATGCATATGTCCAAGAGTAGAGGACCAGGTCCAGAAGACGTGTCCCTAAGGGGCAGACTTGGTCAAAGCTTGGTCCTAACTTTATGGGACAACTACTCCTAGAAATCCGCACTAGTGAAACATGATTTCACATAAAAATGGGCTATGTGAGGAGTGGCAAGGGAAGTGGGCTGAACATGAGGAGTGGAGGGAGCAGTCACTTTGAAGGCTATATAAAGCCATATCAAGTAAAGAAAAAGGAAGATAATTAATTACCACCACTTTGGGCTACTCTTATTCTTATATTTTCTTTCTCCATAACTTTTAAGTATACTAACTTAAGTATTGCAGCGTCCTCTAGTTACCCACCAATTGAGTTATTCATATTTTCTTAGTATTTTATGCGAGTTTCAACCGTATTCATATCAGAGTGTCGCAATTAAGATGTTTTAATTTTTCACCACCATAATATATATATTTTAAGATATTGTAAACTAATTTTACAACACTTTACTTATTTTAAAATTTATTTTAATCTTTTTACTGTTACCAAACCACTTTATACATAAATTTTAATATTAAATAATATTTAAAGTGTGCTTGTTAGCATTTATCTGCTTTAGTTTTCAAAGATTTTAAATAATCAAAACTGAAAATGAAGTGATGTCAAATACAAATGTGTATATGCTTTGGAAGAATAAAAAAGCTAGCAAGTCAAAGAAGCACATGAGATCCAAATTAATATTCAAATAAACCAAAGGTGAGGTGAGAGTGTTGACTTCTTGGAAAAGCATTTACATCCTTTGTCGCAATGAATCCCCCCAAAGGAGCACATACACATCCATTCTATTTGTCCTAACCTTTTTCTCACTACCACTATAGTTCAAGTTAATTCTCTCTATTGACCAAGGAGAGACACTCCATCATGCGGCACCACTCCATCAAGATTCACACACCTTCACTCTCTCATCCCATGTGATCGTAAATTTGAATGTCACTTAGCTATGTAGTAGATCATTTAGGTCTTGTTTAAGAACATCAGAAAAAAGTCAGTTCATAGGATATATGGTGTGTCAGTTCATAGGATATATGGTGTATCAGCTCATTCTAACTACATATAATTATTTTGTTTTTATTTTTTAAATAAGATAGTCATATATCCTCTTATAAAAAGTTTAGGGACTCAAACTTTGAGTCCTATATTTTTGTCAAGAATGTTGTGTGTAGTAAAGATTGAAAATATGTATTATTAGATCTATGGTTCTAAGTAAAATTTCTGAGTGTGTAGTATCACTGACCCCCTTATTATTAGTGTGACACAGGATTAAATAGTGTTCCAAACTTATCCAGTGATATTTTTTTTGTCAATTTTAAAAAAAAAAAAACTAAGGACAATCTTCATGGTTAAATGGCCCATCCCAACCAAAGGAGCACATACACATCCATTTTATTTGTCTATCTGCTAAAAAATGACAGTTTAAGATAGAGATACAAAAGCACTGTACCAAAAATGACAAACTCCATAAAGGACCTATAGAAATTCAAAAAATTAATATTCAAATAAACCAAAGGTGAGGTGAGAGTGTTGACTTCTTGGAAAAGCATTTACATCCTTTGTCGCAATGAATCCCCCCAAAGGAGCACATACACATCCATTCTATTTGTCTATCTGCTAAAAAATGACAGTTTAAGATAGAGATACAAAAGCACTGCACCAAAAATGATAAACTCCATAAAGGACCTATAGAAATTCAAAAGACATATACAAAACATGAAACTGAATAGAATGCATATGATTATACTCAAAAATTACACTAGACGGGTGACACAAGGTTATATAGTGTTCCGAACCTATCCAATAATTTGTTTTTGTCAATCCAAAAAAAATCTTCATGGTTAAATGGCCTATCCCATCTCAAAATTTTAGAAATTTCAAAAGTTCTACTAAAATATTTATCAAAGATTTCACATGGGTGTGAGATTACATGTGAAACATTTAGTAGAACTTTTAAGATCTCTAACATTACTCATCCCATCCAGATAACTATCTCCTAAAAAATAGCAGTCTAAGACAGAGATACAAAAGCACTGCACCAAAAATAATAAACTCCATAAAGGACCTATAGAAATTCAAAAGACATATAGTATAAAACATGAAACTGAATAGAATGCGTATGATTATACTCATAAAGTACACTAGCGAGCAGTAATTATCACTGTACTACATACTTTTGGGTGACAAAATGTCCCTCATTTCACACACACAAAAAGTAACAATTATTCATATTTCTATCAGATTAAGCATCACCAATAAGTTCATATAAAGAAATATTGTCCAAGACTAAGTCTTCCAGGATATTAGGTGTAGTAGGGTTACTGCATGTTGAAGCATATCCATCACTAGGACTAATGTTCTCTGATGAAACAATGCATTGCTTCTCTTGATAATACATTTGTTGTTGGTGGTGGTGACGATGCTGTTGTTCTTGTTGTTTCTGCTGCTGAATCTGAATCTGAGGCTGAGTCTGAGTCTGTCGATCATTGAAATTGTATTCAAACAAGCCCTTCATTGAATTATTTGCAGTAATATCGCTATGTTGGCTACCCATTGCGAAATTTAAGTTTACAGGGCCAGTCCGAGCCCCAAATGACAAGGTAGTGGCAACGCGGCAGCCAGTAAATTGTTGCACTAGGGCTCGGAAATTGGTAGCGTTGGCCTTGAGGAGGGTGATTGGTGTCCTTTTCGAAACCCTAGACCGCCTTCGGATTGGTTTTGATATGGAACCCTTAGGGTTCCCACTTGAAGTACCAGAATTGCTAGAGCTCAACATGTTGGGATCCGTACTAGCCCTAGTCGTGATCACGGTAGACCGGGCTGTGCCACCTGTCCGGCGATGGTTTCTTGATACCTTTGCAGCCATTCATCATAACCTAACAAGTTATCATTCATTTTTGGTTTTGGGTGTTTAGAAATTAGGTAGATATCACTGTCTCTTCCTCTCCCTGATGATATATACCTTTGTTTTTGAGAAAGCAAGAAGCAACCTCAGGTAGAATGTATATATAATAGTGTAGTGTGAACTGCTATGGTAGTCAAAGTAAGATATGTTGAACTTTTGACCAGTCATGAGAGAGAGAGAGAGAGAGAGAGAGAGAGAGATGGAGAGATGCTTGAGGCTAAGGTTGTGGTGTGCTTCCAGGAAACTGATGCTCATGACAATGACGTAATCACATGAGCACTTGCATCACCCTAATCAAGACACATTTTTTGGAACCCGTCAAATGGTTTGATATTGTATTTTATGTGAAAAAGTTGATAATTAGAAATCACAAATTCATTTTTTTAAAGATTTTTATAATTAACTTATTTTCAATTATTTAAATTATTTTTATCTCATTAAGTAAAAATTGTATTCAATAATTTAACACAAACCCCAAATTGAAAAAAAAAAAAAAAAAAATTCTATAACCAAGTGTTAGAAGCAGGGTTGGTAAGAAAATTAGTAAAGGCCAAAGTACTCCAAAATCACGTTAAGACTGTATTTGAATGGAGAAAGAAAAAAAAGGTGAAATGTGAATGAAGGCATCAGTGTTTTTTTTCTTTCCCTTTCTAAATTTCTATATCTAAATCCATGATTCAAACATAGTTTAAAGATATTCTGCTTTCTTGTTTTAAAATATTTATTGTTATAAAATCATATGAGAATTTTGAGACACGAAATTTTTTAATATATAATTTAATAATTATAAGTATTTCGAGAAGGAAAAAAAAAGTTTATGTTTGGTTTGGTTTTTAAAATTTTGTTTTAGAAATTTTTTCTAAAAAATTAAAAATTAATTTGATGAAAGAAATAATAAAAATTAAGAACACTTATCATTTTTATATAATTTTATCTTTTGGGAGGTTAGAAATAATTTTTAAAAATTTAAAAATACTTTTTTGATATTTATTTCTATAAAGTTAGTTTTTATTTTTATTTTTAAATTTTTAAAAAAAATTGAGAAACAAATTAAACCAAATCAAACCAAATTAAATCAAATCAAATCAAATCAAGTCTTAAATCTTAAGTCTTAAGTCTTAAGTCTTATCGAACGAGTTCAGCTAAGAAACAAACTAAACAAATCCAAAAAAAATTAAAATAGAGAATTGCGTGCCTATTGACCTTTCTTCATCCATGGTCAAGTTCATCACAAAATTGTGACTATTTTAATGCCCTTGTTTATTATTTGTGATATGCATTTGTCTTGAGTGTGCATAGGAACAAGTATGAACAAGCGAGAGAGAGAGAGAGAGAGAGAGAGAGAGAGAGAGGGTTTAGTTAGGGCAAGTTAAAGGACTGTCTTTTTCATAAAGTGAATAAAAATGACCCTCGTCGGTTCGTGGATATGACTTGTTATAATTTATTATTCCACATGGTTGAATTCCAGCTTCTTCTCTCCTACCCACTCAAATGAAAAGGAGGGAGAGAATGGGTCTCAAAGGATATCATGAAACAAAGAAAACAAATGAAAATGAAATGAAATAGAGTAATGTTAGGGAAATAATTTATCAAATATTTTATTAAATCTTTTATATGGGTGTGGGGTCCACATACATGTGGATTTGTGTAGATCTCACACCTATGTAACAGATTTGATAAAATATTTGATAGATTATTTGGAATTCATAGCATTTTTTAATGAGATAAGAGTAATGTTAAGGATTCCAAATAATCTATTAAATATTTTACCAAACTTTTCACATATATAACCCACACAAATATTTTATTAAATCTTTTACATAAATATGTGACCCACACAAATATTTTATTAAACCTCTCACGTGGATTAGGACAAGTTTAAGGATTCATACAGTTCACAAATTCCTTCAATAAAGTGTGTCCTTACAAAAATTCAAACTACTTGTATCAAAGTAATCTGAAAGAATAGTCAAATTTTATGATATTGTATTTTATATGTGTCACTGTACATTACAGTACTGTGTCATTTTATCTCACATAAATGAGATCTAATAGTGTATACATGATGGCCCATGGTTGCATTTATGAGTTAACTTATTGTTTCAATTTATTTTTGTATTTAGTGGTTTTTTTTATTGACTCAATTTTTTTTTTCATTTTTTAGCCTTCGTTTGGCATGTCAAGTTTTTTGCCTTTTTAGATATTTTAGTTACAAAAAGGCAAAATAGGCTTTTTAGGTTAATAAGACAAAACATTATATCAAATCTATAATCATTTCATTTTTTTTCTTACAAAAGTCAAAAAAGTCAAAAGACCTATCCCAAACGAGACTTTTTAATCCCAAGTTAGAATAGCCAAAAAGCCAACTCACATCCCAAACGAACATATGTCTAGACCATTCTAATTTTTTTTTAAATAAAATAAAAATTCACTAAAAATAAAAATAAGCTACTTTTTAAAGATTTTTTCAATAAAATTTTGACTAATTCTCTTATAAAAAAAACCAATGACTGCAACACCAACCTAAAATCAAAACCTATACACACACACACACACACAAAAAAAAAAAAAAAAAAAAAAAAAAAAAAAAAAAAAAAAAAAAAAAAAACAAAGAATAAAAACAGATTAAGAAAGAGAAGAAATATAAAAATAAATGGGAAGAAAAACAAGTGCTTCAATATTCAATCAGTATAGCGTATAAAGTGTTGGTGAAAACATAAAACCAATACAAAGTTTATATAAGAAAATTAAATTCAATGAGAAAATCTGATAATACTCATTTTATTTTGTAATTGTTATAATTGTTACAACTAGTAGTAGATCATGGTTATTTAGTGGTTCGCCAAAAGTATCTATTGAAACGAGCTATCAGTTTAAAATTAATCAAAATTTTTATTTTTTGTCTTTTTTCAAAGGCTACAATTTGTTTGGTTTTGAAAATTTTACACCATACTAATCAAACCGATCAAAATGTTATATTTTAAGACTTTTATATTGCGATGATTTGAGCCTTAGAAGATATGTAACCAATGCTCCATATCGTTTGCAAGTTTGTATAAAATTCCTAATGCCTCTTGTGAATTCCATATTTATACTACACTGAAAACTAAAAAATTTAACTGTAGTATAGCATGTTGACGATTGCAGTTCTCAATCCACAAAACTGAAAGGTTCAATTCAATGTCAAATTTTCTTTCAACTCCGATTGAACTAAACTGATTTCAATTTCTCAACCCATAAAATCGAAAAGTTTGATTTAATGTCAAATTTTCTTTCAACTCCGATCGTACCAAACTAATTGCACCTTATCCCCAACCCATTTCCATTCTAGCTCTGCATGTGAACACAATCTGCATGATTCATGAGTTTAGACATTGTGCTTGAGTATCTAATGATCTGTCCAAAATCAAGCTATACAATAATCATAAACAAGTAACGACAAATTAGGCAAGTATTGCTTCACAACAAAAAAAAATATATATAATATAATCTTTTGCTTTGAATTCGATTATTGCATAGAACAATGCATAGTGATTTCTTGGAACCTGAATCCAACCAAAAAAAAAAAAAACAAAAAGAAGAAGAAGAGGAAGAGTGCTTAGCAATCATCAAATACATTGACATGGTTCAAGAATTTTTCTTTTTCTTATTAGGATGTAAAGTTAGACCTAACAAAATGGATATAGCTTGCAATACAAGTCATGTTGGATGTCATTTACTTTGACCAAAGGGAGCACATCATTGAACAATTGAAGAACAAAAGAAAATGGCTTAGCGCACAAGCAACGATAAATTAGGAAGAAAATCCATGTTATCTTCGTACTTGTGTGGCTTTTCAAAATGGTCGGAAACATTTGTATGAGTTGGGGTTAAAATAGTCATATAAGATAAAATATACTATTTTAGTCCAATAAGAAAAAATATCACATCCAATCCATAATCATTATATTTTTCTCTGACAAAAAATCTAAAAAAACCAAAAAGCCCAAGGCCAACCGAAAATCATTATATTTTTCTCTCCCAAATGAGGTTTTTTAGGCCCAGGCTAAAATAGTCAAAAAACTAAAAAACCAAGGGGAACTTACTGATAAGTCCCATGTACTAAGTTCAAAACCCAGCTAATTCCAAAACAAAATACTTGCACCAATTAGTCCAATACATTTTTAATTGTTACCAAAAAATTCTTTTTTTTTTTTTAATTTACAGACACTGTTCACATCTTATTACCGTAGGACCTCCGTCAAACGGTCGCCCGAGACTCGTCGGAATGTTCAACATCGCCGGGAAGTCGCCGGAATATCACCGGGAAGTCGCCGGAGTTTCGCCGGAGTGTTAAGAACGTTAATGGAAGTCGCCGGAATGTTCAGAACATTCACTGGACGTTAAGAACATCACTGGAGACTCACCGGAATGTCTAGAATATTGCCGGAAAAAAAAAAGAATAAATGGATAAATTATAGCAAAAAAAAATAGCAAAATGTGTTAAATATTGATAAACTAAAAGGAAAAAAAATGAAACGACAAAAAACAGCAACAATGGGGAAAACATATGTTATTTTTCAATTTTTGTAAGGTTCAAGCAAATAATCTCTAAATAGTGATCAAACTGAAAAGTAAGTTTTGAAACTGTAAAATGTTACAGTTTCAAAACAAAAATCTATTAAGCATTTATCCTTATTAATCAAACTGAAAAACATGTTATGAAACTGTAAAATTTTACAGTTTTATACCATGATTCATTCCAGCACCAAAAAAATTTGAAACTGCAAAATTTTACAGTTTTCACCGCCTGTAATTAAAACTTGAAAACTACTTGTTCAGAATTCGAAAATTTTCTCCATTAGAACAGAAAAACAGAAGTGTATAGCAGAGAAAAAAAAAAAAAAGAGATCGAAGGAGAAAGGCGCATGTAGAGAGAGGATTGTACTCCGGCAACTATTTTTTGTTTAGATCTAGCCAAATCTAATGTAAATCTACTCAGATCTGAGTAGATCTACATCAGATCTAAATACATCCACTCATCTTCTTCATCGAAAATATATCATCTTCTTCGTCGGAAATATATTATC